ACCTACTCGGCCTTTGCACCCTCAGGGACAGAATTGCCCATTGCACGAGGTAAGGCGAGTAGAGTTGTCTTGGCCTTAGCACTGCCTTTGCACCTCCGAAGGCTTGATCCAATTGCACTGGAGAAGGAGTGTCTATCTGGTCCTAGGCCTCCCTCGATCGGTCCACACATCATGAGGTGGGGACCTGAACGGGAGCAAGTCCTCATTTTGCTCTTATATTTAAACAAAAAGGGGGAACTGCAGGGAGCCGGGACAATCGCCATTATAAGATGGCACCAACTTCCTTGCATCCTGGAGATATATAACTTATAAGACAATGCTTTCGATGAAATACGCGCCTCGGCTTTGCACATGCACAAGCTATATATTGGTCCCTAGCCAATCCCATGGCGCCTGGTGGTGGCAAGCTAATATCAGCCAGTCCAGGGGCGATCCATGCCCCTTATCCCTATATAAGCAGCTGCTTTTAGTGCTCGGGGCCCCTCGCTTCCAGCTCTCCCTTAATCAAAAGGCTCTCCAATAAAGTGTGATTTGAGAAAAATCCTTGAGTGGTGGTCATTCTTTCTCGCTGGCCGAGGAGATCGCTGCATATAAATAAAACACTGATTGGCCAGTGGCCAGGCAGGAAATATAGGCAGGACAAGGAGAGAGCAGAATTTTGAAAAGTGGAAGTCTAAGGGTGGGAGACACTGCCAGCTACTGCCATGACAAACAGCATGTAAAGATGCCAGTGAGCCACGAGCCACATGGCAAGGTATAGATTTATAGAAATGAGTTAATTTAAGATATAAGAACAGTTGGCAAGAAGCCTGCCATGGACATACACTTTTTAAATAATATAAGTGTCTGTGTGTTTATTTTGTAAGTGGACAGGACCCTGAAAAAAAAACTCCAACTAAAAAGGAATTTTTTTCCACCCCAGTTAAATGTATTCCCTGACTTTTGTCCACCAATTCCAGGCTACTAGAACCTTTGATCAGAGTCTAAAATGAAATAAGCTGGTCTAGGTGTCACAGGCCTGTAATCCAAGCTACTTGGAACACTGAGGAAGGACTCAGAGTTCACAACCTGGCTAAGGAAATTTGCCTCCAAAAATTTTTAAACATGTTTATGTTTAGCAACTTAAAAAATATTTATTAATTTTTATTTTTCACATGCATGTGTGTTTTGCCTGGGTATATGTCTGCCTGTTTCAAAATTTTATTTGTTTTAAAGTGAGAGAAAAAAAGAAAGGAAGGAAGGAAATGGGGAAGAATGAAGAGAGAAAGAGAGAGAGAGAAAGGACAGAAAAGAGAGAGGCTGAAGTGTTAGCACAGTAGATAAGAGCACTGGCTGCTCTTGCAGAGGACCTGGGTTGGTCCCCAGCATCCATGAGCTCATAGAGATCCACCTGCTCTGCCTCCCAAGTGCTAGAGAGATGGATACGTAGTTCAGAGCACTTACAGTTCTTCCTCTAGAAGACCCAAGTTTAGCTCCCAGCACCCAGGTCAAGTGGCTCAGTACTGTCTGTAACTCCAGCTC